ATATTGACTGACATTGTAGAATTAAAAAATTAAAAGTGCCGTGTTGACACCTAAAACCCACATACCGATGTACTTAATTTTAATTTTTTCAAGATTATTAAATATGTTCAAAGTTCTTTTGGTCCATATATAGCAAAATGAATGTCTCTCCTTCCTGTAGATACCTGGAAAACGACAGACATTCCAGAATTAAGGAAATACAAATGAAATATGAACTTTCTTCAAACAAGTTCTCGGTTAGCCTAATGTGGTGTTTACTTTATCAGAACGCTTGCTGCCATTTATCCATTTATCACAAGTTGTCTTACCTCTGGTAAACCTGCAATACTTGATGTTCTCTCTGGTTGGTATTTGAGCATTGCTGGACCACCCGTATATTACACAAATAACCATAATTGTTGATACACTGGTCCCAGAGGCAGACGTGGGCACATACGGAAGTCACCAGATGACCTGAGTCGACCCCGCTGAAGCGAGTGGTCTGATGTTACCCACTACTTATTGCTTATCTCTCTCACACACACACACACACGCACACACACACACATAAGCCCTTTCTGAAGTCCTGAAGTATTACCCTTCCTCCTCCTCCTCCTCCTCCTCCTCCTCCTCCTCCTCATTACCTTTTTACTGTTGTTTTAATGTCTCTTAATTCATGTTTTTTTTTCTATATTACTGACAGGTGTGTTGCCCAGACTCCAACACAGGACCGGTCACCACTGTCACGCCCAGTCCTACCCCCAGTCCTACCCCCAGTCCTACCCCCAGACCTAACCCCGACCCTACCCTCACCCAAGGACCTACAGTTAATCCCTCTGTGGGTGAACATCTCCTGCCTGCTGAATGTGGAGTAGGCAATATTGATGTCAAGATCTTCAACGGTGAAGATGCAACTATGGGAGAGTACCCGTGGATGGCCATACTCGGGTTTGGAAGTGAGTTGGGGAGAGGGAGGTAGAGAGGGAGAAAGGGAGAAGAGAAGGATGGAGGATTAGGGAGGCTGGGAGGGAGAGGGAAGTATGGAAAGTGAGAGATGGACAGGAGTGAGGAGGGAGGTAAGGGGAAGGGGAAGGTGGTAAGGAGGGAGACGGAAAGGGTTAGTAAGGGAGGGAGAGAGAAGGAGGTGGGGGGGAAGAAGAGGAATTAACTAGGATAAAGAGGAGAGACAGATAGATTCCTCATGGTCATTATCTCTCACTCACTCACACCTCATTTTCTCTCGCTCGCTCTTGCTATATTATACCTCATTATCTCTAACTTTCTCTCACTATTTCACACGTCATTATCTCTCACTCATTATCTCACACCTCATTATCTCTCACTCTCTCAGGTCAGTCCCAGCCAACTTGGGGGTGTGGAGGTGCGCTGATCACTGAGAGATACGTCCTTACTGCTGCTCACTGTCTGGACCTAGCGCTTACAAACAACCTACCATTGTGAGTGCCCCTGAGTTAACCAGAGTTTACCCGAGTACACCAAAGTACACCTGAGTGCGCCAGAATATACCTGATCCCACCTGAGTATATCAGAGTACACATGAGTACATCTAAGTATGCCAGAGTATAACAGAGTACACCTGAATATGCCAGAGTACAATTGTGTACACCTGAATACACTTGAGTGCACCAGAATATACTCGAGTATACCAGAGAACATTCACTGTTGGTATACTGAGTCTCAGGTAGGTAGTAGGTAGTGGTAGGTAGTGGGCAGCTACCAAACAGGGAGGTACTACCGCCTGCGAAGATATTGGAATCATAATGTGTTGTCTAATGGTAGACCCTGCTGCCATATGGCATCACGAAAATTATGACCAAGTCCCAGGTTGCTGAGCTGAATTTCTGCCTCATTTACACACATTTGCAGGGTCTCAATTGTTTCTCTTGTTATTGACAACACAACAGACATATATTGTTTCTCAATTTTGATCTTTTTTAAATTATTATTATTATTATTATTATTATTATTATTATTATTATTATTATTATTATTATTATTATTATTATTATTATTATTATTATTATTATCATTATTATTATCATTATTATTTTATTATTTTATTTTTAATTTTGTTTTATTACAAATTTTATTTACAATACTATGAATTATTATTATTCATATTATTATTATTATTACATTTTCCCCAGGCCCCGATGTGGGTTAGAGACCTGTGCCCGGGTGGACTATCTAAAAACAAAAAAATAAATACAGTAAATAAATAAATAAATTAATAAAAAAAATGTACTCTTATGTCCGACAATGCATCGCCAATATTGTATTTCCTCTCGTCTTTTATCAAAAAATTTTCGTTTAAATTCTTTTTAATGTTGTTTGTTTCCTTTTCATTAATTTATCGTCGTTTTTAACTTTCCTCTATTTTTTATTTCTTATTTAATTTTGTCTCGTAATTCTTTATTTTACTCTTTCTTTAGCTTCTCCATTCTCTGTTTATTATCGTTTTATTTTGCGTGTCTTCTTAACCCATTGATTTAATGTTGCTGTTATTGTTATTATTATTGTTGTCGTTGTTGCGCGCCTCGCAAGCGAGTGAACCCGGGTTCGATTCCCGGACATGGTGAAACTATGGACAAATTTCTTTACGCCACTTGCCTCTATCTACCCAAGATGTTAATCGATCTGTGGACCGTGTTCCGGTGTAATGGTTAGCCAATGCAGTTGGCTAATTGTCCGGTCTTCTCGGATTGTTCCTTGACACTGGGTCAGGCAGCTCATTAACTTAGGATGTGGTGGCCCTTGTGCCGGCCATCCTCTATCTCTAGGGGCTTCCATTGTTATATATTATTTTTATTATTATTGTCGCTGTTCTTTTTATTATTATTATTATAATTATTATTATTATTATTATTATTATTATTATTATTATTATTATTATTATTATTATTATTATTATTATTATTATTATTATTATTATTATTATTATTATTACCCGTCTCTTAATACAGTATATTTTCTATACCTTTTCCTCCATAGCTGGGATTCGTCTAAGGAAGATTTAGTGCACTGTGCGTTATGTTCACACTGTCCCTAACTGGGATCACCTGAAGACTAGCCCCCAACTTATTACACCTCATAATTAAACATCTTAACTTCCCTGGGTTAATTTAGGTTAGGTTAGGTTTATCTAAGTGAGGTTAGGTTAGATTCCATTTTGATATGGTTAGATGTGATTACCTATTGGATGGTTTATCTTAATATGAAATAAATAAGGCGGGAACTAATCATCAAGTGGTCCTCAATATGGACTACTGTACCTGTATATAAATCATGCAAGTATTAAAGGTGTCTCTCTTCTCTCTTCCTCAGAGCGACGATAAGACTCGGGGAACACAATCTTGGCACAGACCCAGACTGTGTACCTCTGCCAAAGGATGTTGCCGGCGAGGACTGTGCTCCACCCGCTCAGGACTTTACTCCCGAGCAAACGATCCGTCACCCCTCCTTCAACAACCGCGGGGTATTCAACGATGATATAGGTCTCATCAGGCTCAATCGGAAGGTCAACTTTAACTGTGAGTGTTTAAAGGAATGTTGTTATTGTAAGGCGAGACAGGAATGTGACCTTTGTCTGGTAATAATCTACAGGTGGTGAGTAGTCGATAATGCAAAGTTGGAATGACTAAGAGCCGTGAAGAGTCCCAGTTATGAAAGTCTCTAATTAATATTATCTTCTTCTTCTTCTTTATCTCTTCTTATTCTTCACTTCTTGTTAATCGGTACAGATTACAGATTGCCCCGGAGGGGGCTAGTTTATTGGGCACCCCCTTACATCCTGTGCAAGGTGAAGAGCAGAAGCGTTTACAGTGCCCAACTGGGAAGCATGCTAAGTTCATGCTTGCCTTTAGGACTCATGCATTAAGGGCGTGGAAGCCTGAAGGGTCATGGGTTTTGTCAGCAGGTTACATAAAGTGACAGAATGATGAGTGTATGGGGGGGGAAAATTCCCGGTACCTTTCATCTGTTTATAGCAAAGCGTGGCAGGTCCCTAATAATGTCAAGTGCCAGGTCTGTCACTAGGAGGAGGGATATCTGGTGAGGGAGGGAAGAGGTGTTGGTAACGGCTGAGGACCTGTAGGAGGAGGTCATAGGGCAAGCGAGGGTGTAGTGAGAGAGGGTGTGAGAGTCGGGTTGACCACAAAGTTTACAAACAGTGCGGCCAGGCTCAGGGTTGCCAATGTATTCCCATAGGTACCTGTATCCTAGGCGCAGTCTCATGTACAGTCATGAACAGAAGTCCTGTCGCCCCTTGTGCTGTTCCGCGAACCCTGAGATTCAGACTCATGAACCCAAAGCAGTCGACACTGGTGCATTATTCTGCCCGTAAATGCTTCGGATTCATGAGTCTGAATCTCAGGGTTCGTGGAGCAGCAGAAGGGGCGACAGGACTTCTGTTCACGACTGTACATAATCTGTTGCGATCGAGTCAGGGATTGATACTGTTTGTAGTGGCGGTTGGAGTCACCGGTTACAGCGTCATAGTGGCATAATGTGACACTGCCCCGTTGTTTCAGGTGTGTCCATTTTACGTCGAATGCTTCTCGTTGTGTGGCGTGTATGCGAAATTTGAGATGATTCAGGGAGAGGGCGAGGGTAGCTTCAATATCTTCTTCTTGCGTCGCTTCTTTGGCAAGTCGATCAACAGTGTCACAGGCAGTGAATCCTATATGTGACGGGATCCAAATACACTTGACACGGATGTCATCAGTTGTTCTAACCTGGCGTTAATCGGTAGCCAGAAACAGTCAGCCTTGTTTATCTGTAAATAAACAATGGCTTGACCCCAGTAGTGACCTGAGACCCACCTGTGTTTAGTCTCCCTCACCCTTGTTCTTCTTGCTTCTCGCCTCATGTCATTGGTAGTAAGGAGAATGGGACCACTCACCTGAAGATTAGCCCCCCAGCTTATTTCACCTGATGAATAAACACTTTAGTTCTAACCTAATTTAACTTAAGTTAACCTGACGTAACCCTCTCAACTATAATTTAAGCTTATCTAACTTAGCCGAACCCAACCCTGTCTACTATAATCTAAGCTAATCTAACCCTATCTAACAAAATCTAAGCTAAGCTAACTTAACTATCTTATATAATCTAACGTAACCTAACCTACTCTAACCTTAATATTTAATATAACAAAAGCTAATCCAATTTAACCAAACGTAATATAACCTAAATTAATTAAACTTAACCTAACCTAACCTAACCCAAACCAACCCTACCCTACCCTGCCTAATATAATCTGAACTATCCCCTATGTAGCGTTAAGGTGCTTAATGTCAGGGGAATTTTTAACTATTGAGCTGCCAGATTTTATAAAATATAGTAACTCTAGAAGCCTAAATAGTCATCTGTCGCTAAAACAGACAAACAAACCTTAACATTTACCAACACTTTGAGTTACTTGAGAAGTTTATGAAAGACTTCGGCTGTATGTTTATTCCTGAAAAATAAATAAATAAATGTTAATATGTCAACAAGGAAGCAGTACAAATTGATGATCAGGTTAGAGGAGTTTTTTTTTTTTTGCTGGTTATGTCTCACCTTTCCAACCTGTGTTTACAGCAAACATCAAGCCTATCTGCCTGCCTCCCTCTGGCATCGATGTCCAAGCCATCATCTCTGGTAGCACCGCCATCACAGCTGGCTGGGGACGAACGGAACAAGGCATTAATTCCCTGACTCTAAAGAAGGTTAAGTTACCTTTCGTGGACCTGAACACCTGCAACCCACTCTATCAAGGACAACTTGTGAACGGAATGATGTGCTTCGGCGGGGATGGTGAACGTGACGCGTGCTTCGGAGACTCTGGAGGACCTTTGTTCATATCAAAGAGTGTCGCTACATACACCGTGGTAAGATCTTCCTCCTCACTTGAATTTTTTTTTTGGATATGGTGGTAGTGGAGGGTAGGAATAGGGGGTTCTTATAAGTCTATTCCCTCACTATTCACTTTCCAGGTATAGAGGATGGTAGGGGGCGGTGGAGAGTTTGGTTTTTACAACTTTACTCAACTTAAAATTCTTCGAGGACTGTGGGGGATGATGGAGAGATCTTATCTTATAACTCTACTCCCTCACTAATCATTTTTCAGGGATGGGGGTGTTGGAGGGGAGAGGGGTGGGTAGTTGATGGGGGGGGGATGGAACTCTGAAACCCCTCACAACACACAAAGACAGGCCTCAGATCCTCACACTTCCTTAACTCCGCAACTCGTAACGTAAAACTCACACAACATAAAAACACAAATATTCTTCCTTCCCCCAAATTTTACTACTTACAGCGTTCACAACTTGCTTAGGTTACCAAGATGGCGTCGAAATTACACTTGATGGCTATATAATGTAATACTTACATTTAATCTGTATTTGAGATTCTTAACATAAATCCCCCTTGTATTTTAAATCCCTATCATATATCCCCTAACAATGTGTAATCCTTATTATATTCCCTCTTCAATGTTTAATCCCTCTTTAATATTAAATTCCTCTTCAATGTTTAATGCCTGTTGAACGTTTAATCCCTACCATAAATTTCTCTGGTGTGTAATCCCTACCATAATCCCTCATATATATATATATATATATATATATATATATATATACCCTTTTTAATGTTTAATCCCTATCATTTATCCCCTAACATGTGTAATCCCTACCATAATCCCTTTCTTTCGTCCCCCTCAGCTCGGGGTGGTGTCGACGGGAATGCCGACGTGCGGGGTGACAGGTGTTCCGGCCATTTACACCAACGTGGGTCTGTACCGAACTTGGATCACCCAGAACCTCAGGCCCTAGAACCTCCCCTCCCCCTGAATCTAGAACCAATAGCAGTAGAACCACTCTCCCCCTGAATCTAGAACCTACATCCCTAGAACCTTCAGTCATAAAATCTTTGGCTCTACACTGTACTAATGTACTTAGAACCTTTGGAAAAACGCAATAAAAATACTGTACTCCCCCTCACCGTACAACACTGCTCTGATTTCTTTCGTATGCATAGCTGAGACGTCACGACCTGGGGAGTGACTCCTCAAGGTCGTGACGTCAACGAATACAGTAACAATGTCATTATTAACCTATTTTTTGGAAGTCATAAATATCAACTTTTGTTCATTGTATAATGGTCTTGTTCCATTTACTTGTATGGTCATAACGAAAATGATAACAATTATTTCTCACTCATCTTTGAAACTATACCAAACCCGAGTGAGTGAGTACAGCGCCATCAATGTGTAGGAACAGTCCAGCGACTTATTCCAACAGTTCTGGATCCTTGGCTTCCGTCAGGAGCTTTGGTTCGTTATTGTACAATGTACATATATGGATTGAATTAATAAAATTTTACTTGTTTATCGGTTTTGAAATCCTGGTGTGTGTGTGTGTGTGCTGGTTATGCGTATTTTTTTCATGTGTTCAACTTAATGTTCATTAGTGTTCAATGATATGTTTGAAGGTTTAACGCTCTCAAGGCCGAATGTCTTTCTGATCGACGAAAATGCCCTCTGGCGGTGATACTGCTGAGCCAGAACAGCACCACTTACTCATGTCCAAGTGTCACTTTATATTATCACAGTTGTTACAGGCGCCACCGAGCTCCTCCGGCCTGACTGTGCCTCCTTGGTGTTGTGTTTACATAATGTCAGCTGATGGTAGTCAGTGGTCACCGAGACTTTGTAGCGTTCGAGTGATTATTATTACTTCAGTTATTAAGACATATTACAAAATATTCAACAAAATATACTTTACATCTATTCTGAGACCTTCACTCTTTAAAAGGTAAGATGTAAGAGTTATTTGACGTTAACAAATTTATTGGCAAAGCTTGGAATACAACTTGCCTACTCTGAGTAATTCAGTCAGGTCTTGACACTGAGGGTGATATCACTGTCACGCAGGACAGTGATTCATATACAGTAGATGTCATAATCTATTTGAGGACTAATCAGTGTGGGCTAGCAAATTTTGGATAAACAGCAAGAATGTCCTCAAACAGTCCTGATTCAATGTAATAGTTACATAATTCGTGATACAATAAGCCATATGGCCTGAATTCTTTGACAGTGTCACATTCAATAATATAGTGTTCAAGGTTATGCCTTAAAGATTTATCACAAAGTTTACATAATGAGTGTTCCAGTATGGGTACAGCGTCACTAACTTGTCAGTTGTGTCTATATCCTAGCTTAATTATTGACACGACTACATCACATTGTCTGGTTCTGTCCTCATGCAGGCCATACCGGTACCTCTTGTCACAAAGTTTGTCATATTTACTAATGCTACAACTACCAGGTCTCTTTGCATTTATCAGTTCTTATAGATCAGAGTTCATGATTTTGATTTGAATGTTTTTAAGTACAGCATTGGACAGGCCAAGGTCACGGTCAACATTTTCTTTCTTGTGTGCCTCATTGGCCAGAGTATCAGCACGGTCATGATATCTAATTCCAACATGGGACGGAATCCACACAAATTCAATACGAAAGTTGTTCTTCTTAGCAGTTATCACATTTATTTTAATATCACAGACAACTTTAGATATAGAGCCTGACTGACTGTCCATTGATTTCAAAGCACTTTCGGAGTCACAAAATATCACCCCACCTCCATTTTCTTTAAGGTAGTCTATAGCTAAGTAGATTCCCATTAGTTCAGTTTGTGTTGTGCTGGCCCAGTTGTTCAGCCTTTGCTTGTTTGACACTATCACCTTATTTTCGTTATAGGATACAAATGCACAGCCTGTTCTACCTATGTTTGTCTGCACACAACCATCAGTAAAAGCATAACATTCACTTGATTAATACTCTCTATGTGACTGTTAATAGTTTCTAGTGTAATACATTTCACCATATTAGTGTTCAACATTTGCTTACTAGTAACAGGAGTGAAATTAATAGGAGCTGATATATCAAGCCAAGGAGGAATGGCATTAATATGGTTCGTCTGGGGTGATTGGGACATTCAGTTTCAAGAGATCTGCAACGCTTTATGAATCCACGCCCCAAAGAGAGTCTTTTATGGAAGGTTAGCCAGATAGTTTGGACTACTTAGATAGAACATCAACTCAGTTTGAGCTGTAGTTTGGGGACCATTGTTCTTCAAATGTTTGACACAAAACCTGGTGTTAAGTAGAGCTATGCTCTCAGATAAAGAGGACATGGCCGAGGTCTTTCCTCATGTTTACAATTCTGGTAAATTTTGGACATCCTATAATGATGCGCATGGCTTCATTTAGTACTACTGTACCTCCAGGCTGTTTACTTGTTTAAAGAGAATAGTTACAAGATGGAGAGCATGATAATCAACTACAGATCGAATGAAGTGAAGATAGAAAGTACGACCATATGTGATATTAATGCCATAGCTCTTACCAACAAGGGATCTAAGAGGTTTAATGCTCTGCAATAGTTTGGCACGAAGGTTGCCGACGAAGTTCACATCATTCACATTAATTCCAAGATATTTATAAGAGCTGCATAGTTCCAAGGGCATGCTGTTAATGTTAAAATTATGAGGCAGAGGATGAGCAGGACGAGGATTGAGGACCCTCGTCTTGTCAACAGATTTCATGAGACCACATTCAACAGTCCTGTAATGGATACTCTCCCCTACAACTGCCACTGCCGTTTGTCGCTGATCAGCCGATCCCGCGACGAAGTTTCTCTGACAAGCCTAACCGTCTAGACTCGTGTCAATTTTCTCTGACAGGTCTACACGTCTAGACTAAGGGGGGTCGACACCAGCGACACCTTCTCTGAGGTGCGTTGATCTGGTTGACGAGACCGGAGCTAAGTGATGGTGTGGCCATTGAGTTGTTCGCGGTAGCATGGCGCACAGCAGTGTATTCGTGGACTACTCTGTCTGCCGTGGCTGCATAGGTCGCCGAGGTAGTAGAGTAGTCCAATGCCGAGAGGACGAGACTAACTTCTGCAGGGAGCTTCTGAGCGTGAAGCTGGCTCAGGATAGTGCCAGGAAGCCTGTCAGTGTGGCGGGAGCAGTCTCCACATCTCCTTCCAGAGACGAGCAGGCGTTGAGTTGCCGAGGGAGATGCCGGATAGGTCTTGCAGGAGACTGGTGTCAGGCCGTTGGTATCGCCTCATGAGAGCATCTCATAGAGCTGCGAATTTGTTGTCATCTGGGGGCTTAGTGATGAATTCTGCTACTTGTGTGGCGATTTCTGTGGGCAGGAAACAGGCCAGGGCGACGTACTTCTGTTCGTCTGTAGCTGAGGGTCCTGACATTCCATGCAGTGACCATAAGAGGTTGTATAATTTGTTTTTGTTTGGATCTGTGATTCTGATTATGTTTTCGACAGCATAAGGATGACCTTACTTGGTGCGGTTGCCCAGTCAGGTTGGCTTTTGAAGCAGGCTATGTTTAGGGCACTTTTTCTAGCCCCCTCCCCATGTGGGGTGAGCAGAGTGGCTCCTTGAAAGGGCTGCTCAGTCGCACAGACATGACCGGATAAAACTGCTGGCTAGATCACAGTGCATTAATGACCATCTTATCTGTGCCGCCCAAGTGCAGAGTAGTGACTAGAGACTCCCGGCAGTCATCTCTGCCTGTCACCGCCGCCACTCATCCGTCGCCAGAGGACTTTCAGGGGTATAGGGGTTTTGATGATGATGAGAGGTATGATGAGCTGCGCATGAGTTGATTTATGTGGTGAGGCAGGAGCAGACGCTGCAACCACACATCTTGACTCTCCCTTTTCTTGATCCAGAGGTGCAAGTGTTGCAACGACTGGGGAGATGGAGAGTTGAAATGGACTGCCGATGGCCCAGTTTGCTGGGCTTCGCCTTAGTAGCCTGTCCATCAGGCATTGCCTTCGTCCGCCGGTGGAGTCGCTGGGTTTCCACGGTGGTCACCTCTTTCGCCTACACAGCCGTTAGGGTTTTGTTGGAGCGCTGTAGGCATGTATCCCTAATGCGTGGCTCCACTGCAGATTTTTCGTTCGGTGTTTACGCCCGAAGCCGTATACCTCCCAAGGTTGATCAGCAAGGCAGCTGGGCAAGAGTTGGTAGGCGCCAGAACGTGTCCATATGCCAGTAGGTCAATGCACCGTCCCTCGGGGGCCCACTGCTACTCCGAGATCCCCTGCTGGTCTAGCCTAGGGCCATGGGGCACCCAGTTACCGTGTGTTGCCACGAGGAGGCACAGTAGGAGTCTTGGTGGTGAGGAGGCTGTGTACTGACAGGGGAAGACTTATGCAAGTTGCTTCCTTGTTCGCCACGAGGGCTAGTCAGCGGCGGCAGCTGAGAGCGAGAGACCAAGCAGTGCTTGTACCCTAACAGTGACATAATGCTGCCACACTATACGCATTTCACCACCCTGATTGTATAGCTGTTATACAATCAGGGTGGTGAAATGCGTGTGTGTGTTATACTATAACACACACACATACACACACACAAGATTTGAGTCGTACCTGAGAGTCATGAAGTTTAGGTAAGGCTGGACAGGTGAGTTTTTGTTCAGGAAGACAGCACCTGAACACCTCACTCCTGTCTCACTTCTGCCTAATTCCTGTCTAACTCCTACCTTGCTTGTCCCTCACTCCTGTCTAAGACCTGTCTAATTCGTTAGAACATAAATATGAAGGAAACTACAGCGAGCCTATTGGCCCATACTAGACAGCCCCGTTTAAACCCAATCCCTATCGCTCATATATCGGGCCAACGCATATTTGAAGCTACCCAGTGTGTTCGAGTAAATGATGAAGTTCGGTAACTTGTTCCACTCATCCACTACTCTATTTCCAAACCAGTGCTTACCTATCTCGCGCCTAAATCTAAATCTGTCTATTTAAAACCATTGTTACGAGTTCGCTCCTGGTTGGATAGTTTGAGTACCTTTGTAATATCACCTTTGTTTAGCCCTGACTTCCATTTATACACCTCGATCATATCGCCCCTCGCTCTACGTCTCTGGAGGGAGTGCAAATTAAGATGCTTTAACCTGTCTCTGTACTCAGGGTTTTTAATACCCTTGAGTAGTCTAATCATTCTCCTCTGAATGCTTTCCAGGGATTCTATATCCATTTTATATATGCGAGGGTGATGATAATGATGATGATGAGCTATAAAAATAATGATAATAATAATAATAATAATAATAATAATAATAATAATAATAATAATAATAATAATAATAATAATAATGATAATAATAGTAATAATAATAATAATAATAATAATAATAATAATAATAATGATGATGATGATGATAGCATTGTAGACACGCAGATATAGACAGCAAACACACAGGTACACAGTTCATGATCAAAGTGTGTGTATGTGTAAAGTCCAGTGAAATCGGAAAAGATAAACGGAAATTCCACATTGAAAGGTGAAAATACGTGTATGATAAGCCCTTTCCCTTATAAAATAAATATAATTCCTATATACTTCGATATACCACAAGAATATAGTCATATACTTCACAAAGATCGAGATTAAAAGTATACTTTAAAAATATAACCTAAAGTTTAATTGTTAGGGAGGTATAAATGGAAGTGTTTGTTCCTGTTTTATATAGCGAGGTGTGGACACGCTGCCGCCTGAGTCACCAACGTGTATATATAAAGTGAGGGAAACACACAGGTTAGAGCAGTGGTTCGTTAAGAACAGGTAAGGTCAGGTTACTCGGCCTCAGTGCAGTGATAGATTGTGTTTATTATTATTATTATTATTATTATTATTATTATTATTATTATTATTATTATTATTATTATTATTATTATTATTATTATTATTATTATTATTATTGTTGTTGTTGTTGTTGTAGTTCAGCAAACCATGTGCGTGTGTGATAGTTCAATACCATTATGTGTGTGTGTGTGTGTGTATGTGCTCGCACACAGGGTGGTGAAATGCATCTAGTGTGGCAGCATTATTTCAGTGTAGGGTACAAGCACTGTTTGCTACCTCTCGCTTTCGGCTGCCGCTGCTGGCTAGCTCTCGTGGCGAACAGGGAAGCAACTTGCATAAGTCTTCCCCTGTCAGTACACAGCCTCCTCACCACCAAGACTCCGGTTGTGCCTCCTCGTGGCAAAATACGGTAGCTGGCCTCGTGGGCCCAGGCTAAAGCAGTAGGGGGTTTCGGAGTAGCAGTGGGCCCGAGGGGAACAGCACATAGGCCCACTGGAATATGGACACGCTCTGGCGCCTGTCTACCATTGCCCCGCTGCCTTGCGGATTAACCTTGGTAGGTATAAGACTACGGGAGTAAACCTCGAACGAAAATTCTGTGATGGAACCCCGCATCAGGCAGACATGCTTACAGAGCTCCACCAAGACCCCAACGGCGGTATGGGCGAAAGAGATGACCACGAAGGGAACCCAACGACTACACCGCCGGACGAAGGCAATGCCTGATAAACAGGCTACTATGGCAAAACCCAACAAACTGGGCTATCGGCAGTCCATTGCAACTCTTCCTCTTCCCAGTCGTTGCAACACTTGTACCACTGGATCAGGAAAAGGGAGTGTCAAGATGTGTGGTTGCAGAGTGCGCTCCTGCTTCACCAAATAAATCAACTCACGCGCAGTCATCATCTAGCTCATCATACCTCTCATCATCATCAAAACCCCTATAGCCCCAAAAGTCTTATGGCAACGAACGAGTGGCGACAGGGACAGGCAGAGATGACTGCCGGGAGTCTCTAGTCACAACTCTACACATGGGCGGCACAGATAAGATGGTCGTTTATGCACTAGGATCTAGGCAGCAGTGTAATCCGGTCATGTCTGTGCGACTGAGCAGCCCTTTCAAGGAGCCACTCTGCTCACCCTACATGAGGCTTCGAGTTCCACTGACTCACTCACGCTATACCTTTCTCATCAGTGCATATGCCCCAACACTGGATGCAGAGGATGGCATCAAGGAGGCCTTTTATGCCGACCTTGACAGAGTGCTAACCTCTATCCCCAGAGAAAACAAGGTTGTGCTCCTTGGTGACTTCGATGCCAGAGTTGGCAAAGACGCTGACATTTGACAGGAATCCATAGGGAGAAATGGACTAGGCAAATGTAATCCCAACGGCCTACTCCGTCTAAGGAAGTGTGCTGCACACAACCTCACTATCACTAATAACTTGTTTAGGCTGGCCGACAAGTTCAAAGGTTTGTGGCAACACCCACGATCCAAACACTGGCATCTCATTGAGTACATCATTGTCAAAGAAAGAGATCGCAGAGATGTCCTCATCACACGTGCCATGCGTGGCACAGACCACTGTGACACTGATCATCGGCTCGTCAGAGCCAAGCTCTCACTTCACGTTGCCCCAAAACAGCGAAGGCAGCAAGCATCCAAAAGAGGTTTTAACACTAAGCGTCTGGAGGATCCAGGGCTAACACCTGCTTTCAGAGAGCCACTCGAACATGGGCTGATAAACAACCCAGCAGCAAACAACGCAAATCCCAGTGCCGAATGAGATATTCTCGACACTGTCATGACAAAAACCTGCAGAGAGACCCTCGGCCAGATCGAAACAATACACCAGGACTGGTTTAAAAATATGGCATGTGAAACACAAAAAATTGCAGATCAGCACAAGATGCGAGAATTTTTCAATTCCACTAAAACATTTTATGGGCCAATCATTCATGGCGCAGCCACCCTCCGCTCATCCGACGGTATCTCCATAATTAAAGAAGATGAAGGCCTCCTTCAGCGCCGGAAAGAGCACTACCATTCACTGCTCAACCGAAACACCAATGTGGATGTCCCGACTACCCAGCAGGTCCCTCAGCATCCAGAGCAATCCCACCTCAGCTATCCTCCATACCTGGATGAGGTAGCTACTGCCATTAAACAAATAAAAAATAACAGCGCCTTGGGGCATGATGGCATCCCAGCCGAGATGTAAAACGTAGGAGGACTTCTGCTTACCAGCCATCTCCACTCTCTCCATGAGAATATATGGGAAAAGGAGGACATCATCCAAGCTCTTAAACACACCAACATCGTCAATATTTAAAAGAACAAGAGAGAACGGTCAGACTGTGGCAACTACCGCGGGATCTTGCTCCTGTCCGTAGCTGGCAAGATTATCGCCCGAGTCCTCCTAAAAAATACTTCTTCCTGAGGCAGAAAATTCCTCCCAGAATCTCAATGTGGCTTTACACCATCACGTGGCACCACTGACATGATCTTTGCTGCCCACCAAATACAAGAAAAGTGCAGGGAACAGTGTCGTGACCTGTACATGGCTTTCATCGACCTAACCAAGGCCTTCGACTTGGTCAACAGGGAAGCTCTCTGGTGGGCTGTCAGCCATTTTGTCTGCCCACCAAAATTCATCGCCATTGTGAGGCAACTCCACGATGGCATGAACGGCAGTGTGCTGCACAAAGGCACCCAATCAGAGTTCTCCCCCATCTAAACAGGGGTTAAACAAGGGTGTGTACTGGCACCAACTCTCTTTTCCATCTTCTTCGCTGCCTTCCCCACTCGTGCCAGTGCCAATTTAGCCACCGGAGTGAACAGCGAGTACCGGGTTAAGAGAGGTCTTTTCAACATAAGATGACTCCAGGCAATAACAAAGATGTCGGCAGCTTCCATTACTGAACTTCAGTATGCAGATAACCTCACCCTTGTTGCTCACACTAAACACGACGTACAGGATATCCTGAACACTTAAGCAAACGCGTATGCACACTTCGGCCTTGAGGTGAATGTACGTAAGACTCAGATTCTCTTTCAAGCTGTCCCTGGCTCAGAAACACCTCCACTATCCATCCAGCTTAACGGTACTACCCTCTCTAATGTTGCTCACTTTCGGTATCTCGGCTCCCAGCTGTCCACCACCACAGACATCGATGAAGAGATTCAGCATCGGATCAGATGTGCGTCTCAAGCCTTTGGCAGACTCCGAAATCGTGTCTTCAAATATTGGGAGCTGAAATTATCTACAAAGCTGCCCGGATATCGAGCAGTGGTCCTCCCAACGCTGCTATATGGCAGTGAGACATGGGCCGCATACAGGAGGCACCTCAAGGCACTGTAGGAGCACCGAGGCTACCATTATCCATGAACAACGACATTGGACTGGCCTTGTTACCCGCATGGACGACAGTAGACTGCCAAAGCAGCTCCGTTGCAGTCACCTAACGAATAGTAAACGTAACGCCGGCGGGCAATTGATAAGGTATAAGGATAGTCTTAAGACAAACCTGAAAAAGTGCCAAATCAGCCCCCTCACCTTGGAGACGATTACTCCACATCGTAACTCTTGGAGGAGCACCACACGGGAAGGTGTCAATACTTTCGAGTTAGCCCTCCACATGTGCAACGAATGTGAACGACGCTGCAGGTCCCGTATCGGTCTCTTTAGCCGCTTCAAAACTCACCAACCTAGGTGACATTCCTAATACCTCATATCATTATATCATAGCTGGATGATCGTCTTACTCGATTCCGAGTGACACCAAAGTAGTAAAGTAGTAGTGTGTGTGTGTGATAGTTTAATACCATACAGTTTTTCGACAAGTGGAAAGAAGAGTCATCATTTGTGTATATTTTCACATGTATGTATACACTCAAGTAACCTTACAGACACACATTCATTTGCCTCCATCTATAACGGCTACAGTGACTGGCGTGTTTTGTGAGATGTGGCAAAACTACCAGACCAAGGATACTAAACAAACACCCCCCTCCCACTCTATCTGTAAATAATGATATATAACGTGGTTTAAGGTGACCCATGCACGCTGACGTGGTTTTGGTGAAGGTTGGAGCCCAGTGTTCTGATACTGGTGTAGTTGAAAGGCAATATTAGTGTTAAAGAAGCTGTGCCACATCTTACAAAACATGGAGGCAACTGTACACGTGATAAATGGAGGCCAGTGTACACACACACACACACACACACCTGCATCTTCAGGCCAAATCCTTGTAATCCTCTCTCTCTCTCTCTCTCTCTCTCTCTCTCTCTCTCTCTCTCTCTCTCTCTCTCTCTCTCTCTCTCTCTCTCCCAATTCCGTGGAGATGCAATTGACTAAATTATTCCTTCACACACCTTCCAGGATGAGTCGCACGTCAAGCCTTGCAGTGTTGTTGGCAGCCATGGTGGTGGTGGTAACGGCCGGGGCCAGTCGCTCCAGGCAGGCGAGACAAGGTGAGTGTGGAGAAGAGAGAGAGAGAGAAACAGTGAATTAGAGAGAAGGGGTAAAACTGTGAGTGGAGGAAAGGGAGGAGGGGCATCCAGGGAGGAAAGGGAGGAGGGGCATCGAGGGAGGAAAGGGAGGAGGGATTGAGAGAGAAAGAGAGAGACAGATTTAAAGGCGGACCAAGAGAAGGAGAGTAGAGATTGTGAGAGATGTAGTTAGTGACGTAGAAAGGAGAGAGAAGGACGTGTGAATAGACAGACGTTTATTCAGTAAAAAAAATCGTCTCAGAAAACACAATTAAAGAATTACAAATAATAACAAAGGGAAGGAGGGATAGACGGAGGTTAGGTTAGGTTAGGTTATGAGAATTGAGGCCACAAACAAACACACAAACAGACAGACTGACATAACAACGCTGCCCAAGAGACAGAAAGAAAATAACACGAGTATCTTTTCTCACTCACTATCTTTATATACTCAAATATCTCTCTTTCTCTGTGTTTATTTTACTTTTTTGTTTTCCTCTCTCTCTCTCTCTCTCTCTCTCTCTCTCTCTCTCTCTCTCTCTCTCTCTCTCTCATACGTGTATTTCCCACCACAACATCCTGACCAGGTATCGTTCAGGTAATTCCCGACAGGAGGACACAACAACACACCTGCCACATCCACAATTACCAGAACACACCTTTGTAAACACGAGCGCCTAAAACATCTGTCAGCGCTAACATCAAGGAACATTATAAACACGAACATTATGGCGGACCGTAAACACACACACATACACATACATACACATACCGTTCACCTTTGACTAACTATGTCCTCGATGTCCCACAGCCTCCAAATGTGGCCCAGGGGAGCCCTGCATACCCTTCAAGAGTTGCCCGTTCTTCGCTGATATTCAAAGCGGAAGACCTACTCGTGAAAAGCTTAGATTATTTCAAGATGCCAAGTGTGATAACAGCCGCTCGAACCCAAAGGTGAGTTTTGAGTATAGTTGTGTAACCTAACCTAACTCAACCCAACCCAGCACATCCTGGCATAACCTAACCTAACCTAATCTAACCTAACCCAACCCAACCCAGCACATCCTGGCCTAGCCTAACCTAACCTAACCTAACCTAACCTAACCTAACCTAACCTAACTTAACTATAACGTAAACTATGACCTATTATAATCTATCATAACTAAGCCAGCCAAAACATAACGTGAACCTAACCATAACCAACACCTAACTTACTTTAACCGTAACATAGCAAAACAAACAAACAAAGCATAAAAACCATAACATGACAAAACAAACACAACAACACAACATAAGAATAACATAACAAAATAACATGACATAACATAACATGACATAACATAACATGAAATAACATAACATAACATAAATTAACATAACATTGTGATTAAGGTTTTTTCTATCACACACAATTGTTGTTACACTTGTTCTGGGCTTCCTTTAATGTTGAAGCGTCTATAAACACAGGTACTTAGTTTGGGAGAGAATGTATTGTGAATTCCCTCCAGGGGAAGTGTTTTAAGTACACTTTTATAGGAACACTTTAAGTGAAGTATTCACCCATGAGCGTGTGGTAATATTGTAGCTGTCTCCAAGCGTGAGAGCTGGGAGAAGCTGTCAAACGATGTTATTATAGTGAGCGTGACCTCGCTCGTTTCCTGATGAAGTTATAGACTCAGCGTGCGAAACATGAACAACTAATGAGTCATTGTTGAATAACTTAGTGAAAAATTTGCTGTTATATATTTGGGTGAATATTTATATAATGCTAAAGGTGCTGTTACACCGCTCGGCCACCTCCAACCGAGTCCTCATGGTTTAAATCCTAGGTGTACCTAACCTTGTTACAAGAAAGTATACTTTAGCTAAACTTTTGCTTCTTGCACATGCTTTTGCAATTCCTTCCAGAAAGTTTTTGTAGACGCTATTATGTTCCTAGAATTAGCATTACAATCAAGGAACTGATAAATATGATGGATGATGCATAGATAGCTCTAGCCGATTTTGATGAGGTTTCGGACGTATGAAATTTTATCTACATCGTTAGTGACATTATTATTTCTCATTACATCCTCGCACTTACGCAAAAATGCTAAAGTAGTATAATCTGGATCTTCTGCAGTAAACTCTTGTAAGTATCTATACAGTTTGACAGACCGATGAAGACTGTGGGTTAGTAGAACCACCTGATGCCATTTTTGTTGTGTTAGTTAAAGCACTAGCGTTATTAACAAGGGAAGGTAATGGGTAAATGTCACCTGACCTTAATTGTCTACTGTGTAAATCCTCAAACTGAGAATCTATGAAATTTTCACAGTTAGCTAAAGAGTCTGTAAGTGTTAACTCTATTTGGCTAATTTGTGGTAATTTTTCTTCACTATCAATTGCCACTAGCTCCTGTGAATTTTTAGATGACTGACTATCAGAGTCTGAGTCACTAATTTCCTGTTTGATACCCAAAATTTTTGAAAGAGGGTCCATATATAGGAATATTTATCACTTCACTCACTGTATAAAACTCATTACGTTGCCCACTCACAGAGTATAGCAAAAATATTTATATGAGTTATGAAAATGAAGAGAAAACTATTAAAATTATTAAAAAGCATTAGAAAACACTAAAAGTTTGTAAAGGTATAGATTATATATCTACTTTTTGTAAGTAGAGGACATACTTTCTAAATGTGCTTATTTAATTTTGCTTTTAAGCATTTGTGCAAGTAATTTATATTTTATATTGACCTCATGTGAAGACTTCTTGAAGTTCACTTGTGTTTGCTTAGTTTGTAAACTAGTGATTGTTTATGATCTACCTGAGCGAAGAGTCTCTGTAGAGTTTCACTCTGGCAATGACGTCAGGAGTCGCTGAAGTCCTATTCTGAGAGGGATGACGTCACGTCATACGGTGAGCCACCTAGGGGGCTAATCCTGCTTGTGGCGATCAATCTGGGTGCTCATCCTTCTCGCGGTTATCAACCTGGAGGCTGACCTTGCAGATATCAGCCTGAGGGCTGATCTTTCTTGCGGCAATCAGTCTGGGGGCTGACCTGTGGCTGACCTGGGCTGCTCACCAACGAATCTTGATTGTTTAAGTAAGTGATTGTTTGCCTGTCTGGAACCACTTTGACAACCTTCCTAAACTCAGGTGATGTAGTGTTAGCTGGCAGTGATCTAAGCCCACACTCGGGTAGGCTCGGCTGCTCTTGGGTCCAGTCGGGGTAATCATCAACTGCGTGACATTGAGAACTTGATTGCTCAGTTCGCAAGATTTTTTAATGTCTGTGTTACCCCTGTGTTTCTACATATACATTTAGCAAGTGTTTCTAGCCACTGTCCACTTATTTTTCTTGTAATTGCTTGATTGTTGATGATTCACTTAAAGTGCCACTTAAGTCACAGGAATCGCTGGGTTTTTTTATTGTTTCTGACTGTTTCTGTGGATTTCGTGTTTATCCCACCGCTGCCACCAGTATGTGATCACTTTTTTTTCTCTATAACACACAATAGTTGTTACTTAGTTCTGGAACTCTTAAGTGGCAGGGTTGATGTAAACACTTGTTCTGGGCTTCCTTTATTGTTGAAGCGTCTATAAACACAGGTACCCAGTACTTAGTTTGGGAGAGAATGTATTGTGAATTCTCTGCAGGGAAAGTGTTTTAAGTACACTTCTATAGGAACACTTTAAGTGAAGCATTCACCCATGAGCGAGTGGTAATATTCTGGCTGGCTCCAAGCGTAAGAGCAGGGAGTAGCCGGCAAGCGATGTTATCTTAGTCAGCGTGACCTCACTCGACTCCTGATGAAGTTATAAACTCAGCATGTATAACATGAACAACTACTGAGTGATTGTTGAATAACTTAGTGAAATATTTGGTGTTATATATTTGGGTGAATATTTATACAATGCTAAAGGTGCTGTTACACCATAACATACATAACATAATATAACATAACAAAACAAAAAACATAACATAGCATAACTGTCATAGGTTCCGTTAGGCTTACCCACGCAACCAACTCCAAAGTTTGCTTTACTAGAGATAAGGCACCCGGCGAGCCATGACTGCGACATATTTTTTTCATTAGTGGCATCTTAGCCAGCCTATAGGGGAGGCCAGTGAGACAGTGTTGTACTGTTCATCATCTCATGCCCCAAAACCACATTTTAAGTAGTATCCCCTAGGCCATGGGTTAGTTAAGACGTCGTCCCCATCCTCTCCCTCCTGAAGGGAACGGGACACCACACAGAGTTATGTTTTGTTCTCAAGTGTAGAGAGGTGTGAAAAGATTTACATAACATTTGAAGAGTCGTCAGATGAGTGAAGGTTCGAGTTGACCGGAACATATGGACACTCCCACACATAGGTCAGGTCCGAGACACGCTCTGCAATGTCGAATGAACTTTCCTCGGTGGGTGAAGAGAAGGACTCCTTCAGCCGGCTGATGTGGAACTGGGTCCCTCTGTCGCTGAGGACCCCCAAGGTGAGGGTGTACTCTGCCCATCACTCACCCTTGGGTCTACTGTCCACCGCCTCTCGCTGAAGTCCACCAAGATGAGGATGTAAATCTGCCCATCACTCACCCTTGGGTTTCCTGTTCACCGCCTCGTAGTGAATCGGGAGGCTGAGGTGGAACTGGGTCCCTCCATTGATGAGGACCCCCAAAGGTGTGGAGGTACTCTTCCCGTCACTCACCCTTGGGTGTACAGTCCACCGCCTCCTACTGAATCAGCTGGCTGATGAGGAACTGGGTTAACTGACCACAATTTCCGCCGACACCCGCAATTATCTGCCCGTACCTGTGATCCTATCTTATTATTACTAAAGGTAATGACTGATTGGTTATGACAAAGTATAACCAATAACTTAGATGGATGTTGGAAATTAATGGAACTCATTAAATCATCATTTATCAAGTATAAATCATGGAATGTCGGGTGGTGGATTGAATTTCTACGTAGATACACCATAATCTCCTGTAAGTAACCAGTGTGAAGGTATCGAACTGTATGGTAAGAAATATAAGAAACACAATATATTATAATCTTTATATAATATAATCCACTTTTAGACCACAACGATATAAAAATCATGACAATAACGTAACGTAACATAACAAACAACATAACATAACATAACATAACAACATAACATAACATAACAAAAAACATAACATAGCATAACATAACATAACATAACATAACATAACATAACATAACATAACAAACAACATAATATAACAAACAACATAACATAGCATAACATAACATAACATAACATAACAAAAAATAAAATAACATAACATAACAAATCATAACATAACATAAAATAACGCAACATAACATAACATAACATAACATAAGCTAACACATCCTCACCACATAATATGTGACAAAGGGTAACTATGTTTTGTGGTACTGTAGGAGGTGTTGCCGCTCCTACAGGAAGGTGCTATGTGGTACTGATCCTATACCAGTGGGAGGACCTGCAGGAGCTGTCATATATGGAGCTCTGGGGTGATATCCTACGACGAAGGATCCCACGAACCATGAGGACTTTCACCAGCCTGACCCCTGCCTCTTAACACACAGCCTGACCCCTGCCTCTTGACACACAGCCTGAGCCCTGCCTCTTGACACACAGCCTGACCCCTGCCTCTTGACACACACAGCCTGACCCCTGCCTCTTGACACACAGTCTGATCTCTCCCTCTTGACACAGCCTAACCTCTCGCTCTTGACATACAGCCTCACCCTCTTGACACACAGCTCTGACACACCTGCTCTTGACACACAGCCTGACCCCTGCCTCACACAGACCTCTCGCTCTTGACACAGCCTTCTCTTGACACACACACAGCTCTTGACACCCTGCTCTTGACACACACAGCTCTCTGACCTCTCCCTCTTGACACACAGCCTGACCTCTTCTTGACACACACTCTGACACACAGCTCTTGACACACCTGACCTCTGCTCTGACATCTCTCCTCTGACACACAGCCTGACCCCTGCCTCTTGACACACAGTCTGATCTCTCCCTCTTGACACAGCCTAACCTCTCGCTCTTGACATACAGCCTCACCTCTCCCTCTTGACACACGGCCTGACCTCTCGTTCTTGACACACAGCCTGACCCCTCCTTCTTGACACACAGCCTAACCCTTGCCCCCTTGACACACATCCTGACCTCTCCCTCTTTATACAAAGCCGGACCTCTCGCTCTTGACACACAGCCTGACCTCTCGCTCTTGACACACAGCCTGACATCTCGCTCTTGACACATAGCCTGACCTCTTGTTCTTGACACACAGTCTGACCCCTCTTGACACAAAGCCTGACCTCTCCCTCTTGAAACACAGCTTAACCTTTGCCCCTTGACACATACTCTATCCTCTCGCTCTTGACACACAGGCTGACCCCTCCCCTTGACAGTGACGGTACAGCACCACCTACATCAACACAACAGCAGTGAGTGAGATGTAGTGTTTCTGAGGATACCTGCCGTACTCCCCTGGGTCCAAGGACTATAAACAGTAAGGACAGACAGCTGTAACGTCATAAACTTTAGCTTCCCACCATTCATTGACGTCATGCTAGTGACGTACGTCATCTGGTGACTTGAGGGCAGTCACAGATGGTGACGGCCTTGCCTTGGTTGACGTTCGATTGCTTCACTTTTTGCGAATACTCGTAAGGCTAAAGTTTTTCTGTGGCAAAGTATAACGAAATAAGCGCCTTATGTTCTCATAGTCCTCCCAAAAATAAGTGATATGGCAAAACAAAACAAAAAATAGCAAAATATTACAAGTAATCACCCGAAGGGTGCCGGGCGTTTCGCTGATGACATGGACAAATCAACTCAATTTTTTAGCTTATTAGCAAAACAGAGATTTTCCTTTTGCCAGGCAAGGCAAGGTCAATGTGTGAGGGTACTCTGGACACCTGGGTATTGCCTTACAAAGTAATATAGCAGGTTTTTCTAGGCGTTAAGCATCATGACCGTCGCCAGTGAAATAAGTGATGTAACTCTGGGTGTTTTATTTTTAGTTTTTATTTGGGGCAATATTATCTTTTCTTTTGTCAGACGTGGCAAGAATAATGTCTCACGATCTTCTGGGTGACCTGATATTGACTGACATTGTAGAATTAAGAAATTATAAGTGCAGTGTACTGAAACCCACGTACCAATGTACTTAAGTTTAATTTTATCAAGATTATTACATATCTTCTAAGTTCATTTGAGCCACATATAGCAAGATGACTGTCTCACCTTCCTGTAGATACCTGGATATCGACAGACATTCCAGAATTAAGGAAATACAAAAGAAATATGAACTCTCTTCAAACAAGTTCTCGGTTAGCCTAATGTGGTGTTTACTTTATCAGAACGCTTGCTGCCATTTATCCATTTATCACAAGTTTTCTTACCTCTCTTAAACCTGTAATACTTGATGTTCTCTCTGGTTGGTATTTGAGCATTGCTGGACCACCCATATATTACACAAATAACCATAATTGTTGATACACTGGTCCCAGAGGCAGACGTGGGCACACACGGAAGTCACCAGATGACGAGTGTTTACAACAGTGACGTCACCGAACTGTGCACTGTGGGTAAAATAAGTGCTTGGTGAACTGTCCTTACTAGTATTTTATCCTTACCTGAGTCGACCCTGCTGAAGCGAGTGGTCTGATGTTACCCACTGCTTATTGCTTATGACACACAAACACACACACACACACATAACCCCTTTTGAACTCCTGAAGTGATACCGTTCCTCCTCCTCCTCCTCCTCATTACCTTTTTACTGTTGTTTTAACGTCTCTAAATTCATGTTTTTTTTTCTGTTTTTCTAACAGGTGTGTTGCCCAGACTCCAACACAGGACCGGTCACCCCTGTTACCCCTGTCACCCCCGACCCTACCCCCACCCCAGGACCTACAGTTGATCCCTCTGTGGGTGAACGTCTCCTGCCTGCTGAATGTGGACGAGGCAAAATTGATGTCAAGATCTTCAACGGTGAAGATGCAGCTATGGGAGAGTACCCGTGGATGGCCATACTCGGGTTTGGAAGTGAGTTGGGGAGAGGGAGGTAGAAAAGGGAAGGGGAGAGGAGAAGGATGGAGGATTAGGGAGGCTGGGAGGGAGAGGGAAGTATGGAAAGTGAGAGATGGACAGGAGGTAGGTAAGGGGAAGGGGAGGGCGGTAAGGAGGGAGACGGAAAGGGTTAGTAAGGGAGGGAGAGAGAAGGAGGCGGGGGGAAGAAGAGGAATTAACCAGGATAAAGAGGAGAGACAGATAGATTCCTCATGGTCATTATCTCTCACTCATTATCTCACACCTCATTATCTCTCACTCTCTCAGGTCAGTCCCAGCCAACTTGGGGGTGTGGAGGTGCGCTGATCACTGAGAGATACGTCCTTACTGCTGCTCACTGTCTGGACCTAGCGCATACAAACAACCTACCATTGTGAGTGCCCCTGAGTTAACCAGAGTTTACCCGAGTACACCAAAGTACACCTGAGTACATCTATGTATGCCAGAGTACACCTGAATATGCCAGAGTATACTTGAGTACACCTGAATACACCTCAGTACATCAGAATATACCCGAGTACACCAGAGTACACTCACTGTTGGTATACTGAGTCTCAGGTGTAATCTTATGTCCGACAATAAATCCCCAATATTGTATTTCCTCTCGTCTTTTATCAATGTTTTTCTTTAAATTCTTTTTAATGTTGTTTGTTTCCTTTTCATTAATTTATCGCCGTTTTTAATTTTCCTCTTTTGTTATTTTTTATTTCTTATTTAATTTTGTCTCGTAATTCTTTATTTCACTTTCTTTAGCTTCTCCAACTTTGTTTATTATAGTTTTATTTTGCATGTCTTCTTAACCCCTTGATTTTATGTTGTTATTATTTTTATTATTATTATTGTTATTATTATTATTTTTATTATTATTATTATTAGTAGTAGTAGTAGTAGTAGTAGTAGGAATGATAATAATAATGACACTGATAATAATGACGCTAATAATAATAATAATAATAATAATAATAATAATAATAATAATAATAATAATAATAATAATAATAATATATAATAATAGATGGCCGGCCCTAGGGGCGCCTAGACATGAATTTGTTTATGGTGTAGAAGATGTCGTCAACACAACAACCACACTCCAAATTAACCATTTGCATGACCCAGTGTCAAGGAACAGTCCGAGAAGACCGGACAACTCGCCAACTGCATTGGCTAGCTATTATCCCGGAACACGGTCCACAAACGATTAACATCCAGGTTCTCAATTACTGCTGGGTAGACAGAGGCAAATGGCGTAAAGAAACTTGCCCTTAGTTTCACCCTGATCGGGGATCGAGCCCCATTCCACTCGCTTGCGAGGCGCGCAACAACAACAATAATAACAATAACAATAACAAGAACATTAAATCAAGGGGTTAAGAAGACATGCAAAATACAACTATAATAAACAGAGTTGGAGAAGCTAAAGAAAGTGAAATAAAGAATTACGAGACAAAATTAAATAAGAAATAAAAAATAACAAAGGAGGAAAATTAAAAACGACGATAAATTAATGAAAAGGAAACAAACAACATTAAAAATAATTTAAAGAAAAAACATTGATAAAAGACGAGAGGAAATACAATATTGGGGATTTATTGTAGGACTCTTACCTGTGTTATTATTATTATTATTATTATTATTATTATTATTATTATTATTATTATTATTATTATCATTATTATTATTATTTTTATTATTATTATTATTTTTATTATTATTATTATTATTATTATTATTATTATTATTATTATTATTATTATTATTATTATTATTATTACCCGTCTCTTAATACAGTATATTTTCTATACCTTTTCCTCCATAGCTGGGATTCGTCTAAGGAAGATTTAGTGCACTGTGCGTTATGTTCACACTGTCCCTAACTGGGATCACCTGAAGACTAGCCCCCAACTTATTACACCTCATAATTAAAAAACTTAACTTTACCTGGGAAGATTTAAGTTAGGTTAGGTTAAGTTAGGTTTATCTAATTGAGGTTAGGTTAAATTTCATTTTGTTAAGGTTAGATGTAATTACCTATTGGGTGGTTAATCTTAAGGTGAAATAGATAGGGTAGGGAACCAATCATCAAGTGGTCCTCAATATGTACTACTGTACCTGTATATAAATCATGCAAGTATTAAAGGTGTCTCTCTTCTCTCTGCCTCAGAGCGACGATAAGACTCGGGGAACACAATCTTGGCACAGACCCAGACTGTGTACCTCTGCCAAAGGATGTTGCCGGCGAGGACTGTTCTCCACCCGCTCAGGACTTTACACCCGAGCAAACGATCCGTCACCCCTCCTTCAACAACCGCGGGGTATTCAACGATGATATAGGTCTCATCAGGCTCAATCGAAAGGTCAACTTTAACTGTGAGTGTTTGAAGGAATGTTGTTATTGTAAGGCGAGACAGGAATGTGACCTTTGTCTGGTAATAATCTTCAGGTAGTGAGTAGTCGATAATGCAAAGTTGGAAAGATTAAGAGTGGTAGAACGGTACCGCTCTTGCCCTGCAAGCGAGATGTCACGGGTTCGATTCCCGTGCCGGTGGAAAAGTTGTTTGGACATACTTCCTTGACCCCTTGGTCCCTGTACACCTACCAGTAATGTAGGTACCTGTTGTAAATCTAAAGTTGCGAATTCGTATTCAGGGAAAGTTGTTGGAGCTTCCAATAACTTGATGACATTGATTCTTCAGGCTTCTACGCCCTTGACTAAAAAAACCTATGACCCTTCAAGCTTCTACGCCCTTAACTCATGAGACATAAAGGCAAGCATTCTGGGCGCTGTAAACGCTTCTGAGCTTCACTTAACTCAGGGTGTAGGGGGGGTGCCCAATAAAAAAAAATGTCTGTCTCGCCTTATGTTATTGTTAGTAAGGAGAATGGAACCACTCACCTGAGGTTTAGCTCCCCCCCACTCCCCCAGCTTATTTCACCTGATGATTAAACACCTTAGTTCTAACCTAATTTAATCTAAATTAACCTAAGGTAACCCTATCTACTTTAATATAAGCTTATCTAAGCTAACCTAACCTAACCTAATATAATCTGAACTATCCCCTATGTAGCGTTAAGGTGTTTAATGTCAGGGGAATTTTTAACTATTGAGCTGCCAGATTTTATAAAATATAGTAACTCTAGAAGCCTAAATAGTCATCTGTCGCTAAAACAGACAAACAAACCTTAACATTTACCAACACTTTGAGTTACTTGAGAAGTTTATGAAAGACTTCGGCTGTATGTTTATTCCTGAAAAATAAATAAATAAATGTTAATATGTCAACAAGGAAGCAGTACAAATTGATGATCAGGTTAGAGGAGTTTTTTTTTTTTTGCTGGTTATGTCTCACCTTTCCAACCTGTGTTTACAGCAAACATCAAGCCTATCTGCCTGCCTCCCTCTGGCATCGATGTCCAAGCCTTCATCTCCGGTAGCACCGCCATCACAGCTGGCTGGGGACGAACGGAACAAGGCATTAATTCCCAGACCCTAAAGAAGGTTAAGTTACCTTTCGTGGACCTGAACACCTGCAACCCACTCTATCAAGGACAACTTGTGAACGGAATGATGTGCTTCGGCGGGGATGGTGAACGTGACGCGTGTTTCGGAGACTCTGGAGGACCTTTGTTCATATCAAAGAGTGCCGCTATATACACCGTGGTAAGATCTTCCTCCTCACTTGAATTTTTTTCGTTGATGGTGGTAGTGGAGGGTAGGAATAGGGGGTTCTTATACGTCTATTCTCTCACTATTCATTATCCGGGTATGGGGGTTAGGTATGGGTAGCGGGGGATGGAACTCTGAAACCCCTCACAACACACAAGGACAGGCCCCAGATCCTCACACTTCCTTAACTCCTCAACTCGTATCGTAAAACTCGCACAAGATAAAAACACAAATAATTTATTCTTCCTTCCCCAAAAATAATTTCTACTTACAACGTTTACAACTTGCTCAGGTTACCAAGATGGCGTCGAAATTACACTTCAAACTATATATGTAATCCTTACCATATATCTGTATTTGTGATTCTTAACATAAGTCCCCTCTTGTATTTTAATTCCCTACCATACATCCCCAAACAATGCATAATCCTTACCATAATCCTTCTTGAATGTTTAATCCCTACCACAAATCTCTCTGGTGTGTAATCCCTACTGTGAATCCCTCTTGAATTTCTTCTTAAATGTTTAATCTCTCTTCAATGTTTAATCCCTACCATAATCCCTTTCTTTCGTCCCCCTCAGCTCGGGGTGGTGTCGACGGGAATGCCGACATGCGGGGTGACAGGTGTTCCGGCCATCTACACCAACGTGGGTCTGTACAGAACTTGGATCACCCAGAACCTCAGGCCCTAGAACCTCCCCTCCCCCTGAATCTAGAAGAACCACTAGCAATAGAACTACTCTCCCGCTGAATCTAGAAGAACCAATAACAACAGAACCACTCTCCCCCTGAATCTAGAATCTACACCTTCAGTCATAGAACCATTGGCTCTACGCTCTACTTAGAACCTTTGGAAAAACACAATAGAAATACTGTACTCCTCCTCACCATGCAACACTGCTCTGACGTCTTTCGTATGCATATCTGTGACGTCAACGAAAACAATAACAAAGGCATTATTGATTTTAATCTTTTTTTGGAACTCATCCCAACAGTTCTGGATCTTAGGCGCGCGTAAGGAACGTTGGTTCCGTGATTGTACATGTATGGATTGTATTCATAAAATTGTTAATTGTTTATCCGTTTGGAAATCCTAATGTGTGTGTGTTGTAATAATAATAATAATAATAATAATAATAATAATAATAATAATAATAATAATAATAATAATTAACGGTTTATTGAAAAAGTTCTGCAGCCCGAAGACTGAAAATATACATTGGACATAAATGACTTATTACATGCATTGGTGGTTTAACAAAAGCCTTCATTAGAGAAAGGTAAAGGAACATACAGATTAATGTAGGATTGTACGTGTTGAACAGCAAACACGTAGTGTAGTAACTTCCTCCCAGATGGTGTTAGGAGGGACCTCACGTGATGTAGTGGTTCCCTCAGATGGTGTTATGAGGGACCTGACGTGGTGTAGTAATTCCCTCGCAGATGGTGTTATGAGGGACCACGTGGTGTAGTAATTCCCTCACAGATGGTGTTATGGGGGACCTCACGTGGTGTAATTACCTCACAGATGGTGTTATGAGGGTCCTCATGTGGTGTAGTAATTCCCTCACAGATGGTGTTATTAGGGACCTGACGTGGTGTGATAATTCCCTCACAGATGGTGTTATGAGGGACCTGACGTGGTGTAGTAATTCCCTCACAGATGGTGTTATGAGGGGGCCTCACGTGGTGTAGTAATTCCTTCACAGATGGTGTTATGAGGGTCCTCACGTGGTGTAGTAATTCCCTCACAGATGGTGTGATGAGGGACTTGACGTGGTGTAGTAATTCCCTCACATATGGTGTTATGAGGGACATTTGGTGTAGTAATTCCCTCACAGATGGTGTTATATGAGTGAGGTTTGGTCCCAGGCCTTCCTATCGTAGACGGATTAACACATCGCTGGTTATCACGGGCCGTTATCACTGGGTACCTGGGACCTCACTGTGTGAAGGTTAACTTGGGTACGACTGTTACATAAGAACATAAGAACATAAGAATGGAGGAAACTGCAGCGGGCCTATTGGCCCATACTGGGCAGTTCCGTTTACACCCAACCCCTATTGCTCATATGAGCATCCAACCTATGTTTGAAGCAATTCAGCGAATTCGAGTTAATGATGATATTTGGTAACTTGTTCCATTCATCAACTACTCTGTTTCCAAACCAGTGTTTACCTATTTCACGCCTAAATCTAAATTTGTCTAATTTAAAACCATTGTTACGAGTTCGCTCCTGGTTGGATAATTTGAGTACCTTTGTAATGTCCCCTTTGTTTAGCCCTGTCTTCCACTTATACACCTCTATCAGGTCGCCCCTCGCTCTACGTCTCTCGAGGGAGTGCAAATTAAGATGCTTTAACCTGTCTCTATACTCAAGGTTCCTAATGCCCGGGATTAGTCTTGTCATTCTCCTCTGAATTCTTTCCAAGGATTCTATATCCATTCTGTAATACGGTGACCAGAACTGAACTGCGTAATCCAGGTGTGGTCTCACAAGAGCAAGATACAGTTTTAGGATGACCTCGCTAGTCTTGTAACTAACACTCCTTTGTATGAACCCAAGTACTTTATTAGCCTTGTTACGAGCAAAAACACATTGTTTACTTGGCTTAAGGTTCCTACTTATCATTACTCCTAAATCTCTCTCGCAGTCGGATTTCTCTATGGCATCGTTGTTCATCTGGTATCTGGTTTCCCTGTTTACATCTCCTATACTGAGTACTTTACATTTGTCGACGTTGAATTTCATCTGCCATTTTTCAGACCATTGGAAAAATTTGTTTAGATCTTCCTGTAGTTTTGCCGAGTCCTCGTCAGATTTAATAACACGTCCTATTTTAGTGTCATCAGCAAATTTACTTATGTTGCTGTCTATGCCGATATCTATGTCGTTTATGTATATAATAAATAATAATGGTCCAAGTACTGAGCCTTGGGGAACTCCACTTGTGACGTTGCTCCAATGGGACTTAGTGCCGTTAATGCTCACTCGCTGTTTCCTGTCCTGTAACCACGCCCTAATCCATTTAAGGATACCTTTGATGCCATGAGCTTCTACCTTTCTAATTAGTCTTTCGTGGGGGACTCTGTCGAAGGCTTTGCTAAAGTCGAGATATACCACATCATAATTGTGCCCTCGTCCACTGATTCGAAAACTGATGAAAAGAATGTTAATAGATTAGTTAGGCAAGAACGTCCGCTTGTGAAGCCATGCTGGGAATCATTGATCAATCGGTGCTTCTCCAGGTGATTTCGAATAGAGTTTGAAATGATTGCTTCCAGTAATTTGCCTACTATTGATGTTAGACTGATTGGGACGGTAGTTAGAGGATAGTGATCTATCCCCTTCTTGAAAATCGGTATTACATTCGCTATCCTCCAGGATTCTGGTACTACACCTGTTTTTAAGGACATGTTAAACAACTTTGCTAAGGGCATACTAAGCTCTTCCTTACATTCCTTTAATACTCTGGCAAATATCTCATCGGGACCAGGTGACTTATTAGGCTTTAGTTTGTCTATTTGCTTACTAACATCGTTACTAGTCACTACTATCTCACTTAATTTGTTTTCTTCACTATCTCTGAATAGAGTCGGTGCCTCGGGTATCATGTTTAAATTTTCGGTGGTGAAAACTGTTGAAAAATATTTATTTAAATTATTGCTCATTTCTCCGTCGTTATCAGTGAGCTCGCCGGAGTCTGACCGTATTGGTCCAATCTTTTCTCGTGTTTTAGTTTGATACATTTGGTAGAATCCTTTGGGGTTTGTCTTCGCCTCCCTTGCTACCCTTACCTCATTATTCCTCTTTGCTTTCCTTATCTCGGTTTTAACTCTACTCGCCAATACCCTATAATAGTCCCGGAGGTGAATTTCGCCACGATTTATCCTTCTACCTATAGCCTTCCTTTGGCCAATGATGTTCTTTAAATAATTATTTATCCATTTAGGGTCATTGTTGTCTGATCTGAGTTTTTTGTATGGTATGTTCTGCCTTTGTGCATTAAGTAACTCACTATTTAAATTGTCGTGGAACTCGGCAATCTCAGATCTCGTTATCAGGTCGGTGTCATCTGTCAGGTTCACGGCCAAGCGCGACACCCCCTCTCTCAGCTGCCTCTTTAAACTGTCAAAGTTTGCCCTTCTGAAATCTGGTACTTTAGTGGAATTTTCCTTACGTCTGCCCTGAAAATCTAACTGGAATCGAATTTCTTTGTGATCGCTGTTTGCAAGTTCGTTCCCTACCTCGACATTGCTAATGAGGTTTTCTCTGTTCGTCAGAACTAAATCCAGTATATTATTACCCCGTGTGGGTTCGGTTATATGTTGACTTAGGAAACAGTCCTGGATCGTCTCGAGAAAATCCTCTGATTCTGAGTTACCCGTAAGGACAGTCCAATCTATTTGGCCAAGGTTAAAGTCGCCTACTATACAGACTTTGTTGTGTATGGAAGCCCTGCGCATTTCATCCCAGATAAGTCGCTCATTGACGCTATCGAGATTGGGGGGTCTATATATTACCCCCGTGATTAATTTTTCCCGACCGTCGCTTAATTCTATCCAAATTGTTTCTGTATTCCTCTCAGTTTTTATTTCCTTATTTATTTCACACTTCAGATTATCCCTAACATAGATTGCTACTCCGCCTCCTTTCCTGGTCTGCCTATCGGTATGGAACAGTTTGTAACCCGCAATTTGGTATTCGACTGGTAATTCACGTGTGTCTAGGTTGATCCATGTTTCAGTGAATGCAATTATATCGATTTCTTCGGTACATACCAAGGCCTTAATATCATCCATTTTGTTTCTCATACTTCTACTGTTCGCGTAGTATACATTTAAGTTAGTCGTGTTCTGAGTCCTTCCCTTACCGCGTTTAGTTTTAAACTCCCTGTCTAATTTAGTTTTGTCATCATTCCTAACACTATTTCCCTGTAATCTTTCGCCTTGTTTACCCGCTCCCACTGCAGTCTCCTCCACCCCCGTGCCCCTATGTTCTCTTAGCAGTTTAAAGACTTCGATATCTTTTGAACTGCCCCCTCTAGAGCCCCAGCCAGGGTTGCTACTCCATCCCTAGACAGGTGCACCCCATCCCTAGCATAAAGGTCCCTTCTACTGTTGAGTTGTTCTCACTGACTTAAGCACTGTTCACCACTGTTCACCTCTGTTTAACACTGGTTCCATTCCTTTCCTAAATGAAATTGTAACTTCTGGCGAGAACTTGTTGATATTCCGGTGGGGAGGAGGGTTCAGGGGAAGGGGTTGGTATGGGCCAACTTAACAGTTGACCTGGCTGCTCCGAGAGGAGCGCCAGGTACGTCTTGACCCTTCGGTGGTCAAGGATGTAGTGAGAATATGTGTGTATATGTATGCTGATTAGGTGTACTGTATTTTTTTCATATATTCAACTTCACGTTCATTAGTGTTCATTGATATGTTTGAAGGTTTAACGCTCTCAAGGCCTAACGTGTACAGCGCTGGACATGAAGTTCGCACTCACTCGTCTTTCTGATCGACGAAAATGCCCTCTGGCGGTGAGACTCCTGAGCCACAACAACACCACTTACTCATATCCAAGTGTCACTTTATATCAATACAGTTGTTACAGGCGCCACCGTGGTCCTCCGGCCTGACTGTGACTCCTTGGTGTTGTGTTTACATAATGTCAGCTGATGGTAGTCAGTGGTCACCGAGACTTCGTAGTGTTCGAGTGATCATTATTACTTCAGTTATTACGACAAATTACAAAATATCCAACAATAATATACTTTACATCTATTCTGAGACCTTCACTCTTTTAAAGGTAAGATGTAAGAGTTATTTACGGTTAACAAATTTATTGGCAAAGCTTGAAGTACAATTTGCCTATTATGAGTAACTCAGTTGGGTCATGACACTGACAGAGGTTCATACACAAAGAAATAGATCATATTTATGAACACTTTATATAGGACAGAGTCATGTGGGTGATGTCACTATTCATTGCCACGCAGGACAGTGGTTCATACACAATCGAAGTCATATTTTATTTGAGGACTAATCAGTGTTATTTTATAGAGAGGAATAGCAACAA